GAATAGAATAGAATAGAATAGAATAGAATAGAATAGAATAGAATAGAATAGAATAGAATAGAATAGAAACATATTTTATTGTCCCACAGCAGGGAAATTCAGGTGTAATAGCAGAAGCAGATATATCAATCCACAGAAACAGTATATTGCTGTGTCATAATCAACAGTGGCAAAAATAATAGAATTAAAAACTATAATAATAAAACTAAAAACAAGAACGTAATAAAAATAAATATTACTGCTCCTTATGAAATAAGATAAGATATTGTGCAAATTACAAGAAAAACAGTGACGACAGGCTCATGATCATTGAGTCAGTGTTCCAGTACAGGAAAAAAAAATGTGCAATTGCCACAGAGTATTATTTTTGTAATGATTGAGAGGTAGAGTTGTTTGATGTGCAAACATTTAGGACTTGTTGCTGACAATAGACTGAATGCTCCTTTTCCCTATTGGTCCATTCCTCTGAAAACCAAGCTGTAATACTGATCTGTCTGAGCACAGTCCACATTTTCACTGTGTGGTGGTCCATCCTAGAAGCTGATACTTCTTCTAGACCAGGTTAGATTAAACATTTCTGCACAGTAACCCTTACAGTGTCATTTGTGAATGTAACTTTGTATTATAGAACATGGCAAAGGTCGTTGTTTTTTTCTTCTAAGCTTTAGAAAAAACAAGTCCAGACTAGATTCTCCCCAGTCACTTCCCCCAGGGTGACACAAAGGCTTTCTTTGGCCAGTTGAGATATGATCCTTTTAATATGTCATGGGTCGACCCCAAGGCCTCCACCCAGAAGGACATGCCACCCTATTCCTAAAGCTGAGCCTGGTCACCATGTGGAGAAAACTCATCTCAAACACCTTGATCCAAATCTAATTTTTTGATCAAAAGGTGAGATTTGGTGTGTGATCGGTATCACATGTTTAGAACAGTATTGCTTTACCTCAATAACAGCAACAACTTTGTTCGAAAACAAAATGCAGGAATTTATGTAAATTAGATACATTTAATGTAAGACAGCAACTGAAATATGTACTTGCTGTGTACTTGGTCCTTCTAATTTTTATTCTCCATTTGTCCTCAGCAGTGTTTGATTCCGGTTGTATTAATGTCAAAAAAAATTTTTGCAAAAAATAAAAGGAAAAAAAGGAGTTCAGATGTGGTGTTTTATGAATTAAACTTACACTGAATCACATTAAAGTTCAGCAGCAGCAGCCTGCAGTCTGCATAAACTTTAAATTCAGATCGATGTCATCACCCGTGGATCCTCCAAGGCTCAAAGAATCTCCCTCCACCCACAAATTTAACCTCTTCACAGCTCAAAATGACCTGAGAGGACGCTGGAGTCTTTCATCTTCACATCAGATCTTACACTCCAGGCCTGGAGGATGTTTCAGTTGACAAACTCAGGGCGGTTTTCTAACATCTTCTTTTTCTTCTCTCTTTTCTCCTCGTCTCTCTCCTGTGTGTCAATCAAGGGTTTCTCCCCCGCTGTTCCCAAGTTAGTATTTTCTCCTGCTGAATGCATCGTGGTTGTGTGTTTGCTTTGTTGTTTGGTTGTTAAAGGCATGGTTTGGTCCTGCTGGTGGCTCAGATTGAATGTATTTGGATATTTTGGTGTAACATGCAGCTGTGAAAGTGACATTTTACCCTTTTAAAATCGTCAGCATTCAGTCATAAATACATTAATAAAATGCAACTAAATAAATATGGTGCTTTTAACAGGGAGGTCTTAATTTACCCTGTTTAATTTTATTTAGTACATTTTAGAATAAAAGCCTGAATGCTGAAATTGTCAGGTACCTATTTGAAAGAAATGAACTAAAATTATACACTAACAATGTAGAAAATTACACTGCAGGTATATTTATGCTAAGAAAAAAGCATAAACACACCCTCTGAAATGCTGGTTGTTTTTTGTGTACTGTCATCACAAGAATGCTGTTCTTTAAGTTTGACTTTAAATACGAGCATCTGCATTTTGATGAGATTTTTAAATAAAATAAATTAAAATTTACACGAAACATATTGCTACCACCTCAGCGAAAAAGTAATAAATAAAAAAGGCAAACAGTATTACATGTAAGTAAACACTTTTTTTGTGTTCTAACAAAATGTTTTCAGAATATTACAGTTTACATACCCTATCACCTTAATACAGTATGGATAAAATAAGAAAAATTTACATATTTTTAACAATTAACTTTATTTCTAACAAAATATGGTTCTATTTTATTTTTACTGCCGTGGCAGCTGTGTGCTTCCATACTTCCATGTTTTCCATTACTGAAATGTGAAGTTGCATCTCAGACAATATTTTTATCAGTGGATTTTTAGTTTTGTTTTTCAGCAAAGTCAGCCCTTTCTAATATATTGAAACTGATCACTATTTCATTTAAATTTTTCATTATTTGTGAGGGTTGTAATGTAGGTTTTAAAAAGTCTTATCCAAGATGAGAGTATCTAAGTTCAAATATTTACTGTGTCCCTCTGAGTGCTGAACTATGACTCAGTTCAGTGAAGCATCTTTCTGTTAAGACACAAAAATTGTAAAATTCCTTTCAGAAATAATATAAAAAATATGGTTCTGGTCTTAATTCTTTCTAACACTTTTCTCTGACTTGCGTAGATCAAAACTAGATTGTACATATTCAAATGAAATATCTTCTAAAATATATACAGTGGTTTGCAAAAGTATTCATACCCCTTGAACTTTTCCATATTTTGTCACATTACAACCACAAACATAAATATATTTCACTGGAATTTAATGTGAAAGACCAACACAAAGTGGTATACAATTGTGAAGTGGAAGCAAAATTTTACATGAATCAAAACATTTTTTACAAATAAAAAACTGAAAAGTGCGACGTGCAAAAGTATTCAGCCCCCTTTTCCCTGAGTGCAACCAATTGCATTCAGAAGTTGCCTGATGACTGCTAATGACTCAAAAGGGTCCACCTGTGTGTAATCTAATCTCAGTACAAATACAGCTGCTCCGTGACGGCCTCAGATGTTGGTTAAGAGAATATTGGGGAGCAAACAGCATCATGAAGTCCAAAGAACACACCAGACAGGTTAGGAATATGGTTTTGGAGAAGTTTAAAGCAGGCTTAGGTTATAAAAAGATTTCCCAAGCTTTGAACATCTCACGGAGCACTGTTCAATCCATCATCYGGAAATGGAAAGAGTATGGCACCACAGTAAACCTGCCAAGACAAGGCCGTCCACCTAAACTTACAGGCCGAACAAGGAGATCACTGATCAGAGAGGCAGCCAAGAGGCCCATGGTGACTCTGGATGAAATGCAGAGAGCCACAGCTCAGGTTGGGGAAACTGTCCACAGGACAACAATTAGTCGTGCACTACACAAATGTGGTCTTTATGGAAGAGTGGCAAGGAGAAAGCCATTGTTAAAAGAAAACCATAAGAAGTCCCGTTTGCAGTTTGCCAGAAGCCATGTTGAGGACACAGCAAACATGTGGAAGAAGGTGCTTTGGTCAGACGAGACCAAAATTGAACTTTTTGGCCACAATGCAAAACGCTATGTGTGGCGGAGAAATAACACTGCACATCACTCTGAAAACACCATCCCCACTGTCAAATATGGTGGTGGCAGCATCATGCTCTGGGGGTGCTTCTCTTCAGCAGGGACCGGGAAGTTGGTCAAAGTTGATGGGAAGATGGATGGAGCCAAATACAGGGCAATCTTGGAAGAAAACCTGTTGGAGTCAGCAAAAGATTTGAGACTGGGGCGGAGGTTCACCTTCCAGCAGGACAACGACCCTAAACATAAAGCCAAAGCTACAATGGAGTGGTTTAAAAAAAAGAATATTCATGTGTTAGAATGGCCCAGTCAAAGTCCAGACCTAAACCCAATTGAGAATTTGTGGCAAGATCTCAAAACTGCTGTTCACAAACGCTCTCCATCCAATCTGACTGAGCTTGAGCTGTTTTGCAAGGAGGAATGGGCAAGAATTGCAGTCACTAGATGTGCAAAGCTGGTGGAGACATACCCTAAAAGACTTGCAGCTGTAATTGCAGCAAAAGGTGGCTCCACAAAGTATTGACTCAGGGGGGCTGAATACTTTTGCACATCGCACTTTTCAGTTTTTTATTTGTAAAAAAAGTTTTGATTCATGTAAAATTTTGCTTCCACTTCACAATTGTATACCACTTTGTGTTGGTCTTTCACATTAAATTCCAGTGAAATATATTTATGTTTGTGGTTGTAATGTGACAAAATATGGAAAAGTTCAAGGGGTATGAATACTTTTGCAAACCACTGTATTCTAGTGTAACGAGATTTTCTTAGTTTACAGCTAAATTTATGGTTCTGCAAAAGCGGGTCCTGGATCTTTCTAGGGGTCTCTGTTTGGACACACCTGGAACACATCCATAAGGAGACATCCTGGGTGCATCATGGCCAGATGCCTGAACCACCTCAACCGGCAAAACTGTGTGGAGAAGCAGCTCTGTGTCCCTCCTGGATTAACAAACCTCTCATCCTCTCAGAGATAGCCCAGCTATCTTTCAGAGAAAATCCATTTTAACCACCCGTATCAGAGATCTTGTTCTTTTGGACGCTGACCAAAGTTCTAGAACATATGAGGGTTGGAACATGGATCACCTGGTAAACAAAGAGCTTTGTCTTACACCTCAGCCTTCTCTCCACCCTAACAGACTGCAAAGAGTTCACAAAACTGCACCAATCCATTTGTGGGTCTTTTGATACAGTCTTTTCTCACTCGTAGCACCTAGCTCCCATTCCTTAGGGAGCAGTCCAAACTTTTCCAACTGAGGACCATGACCTTGGATTTGGAGGTGCTGGTCCTCCTCCCAGCTGTTTCTTATTCTCATCACTCCAGTGAAAGCCTAAGATTACAACACTGTGAAGCCAACATTGTCTGCGAGTGGCAGAGATGGACTCCTGAGGTCACCAAATCGGACCCCTTGCACCATGTGGCATCATCGAGAAATTCTGTTCATTAAAGTTTTGATCAGAACTGTTGACCTGGCAGTCTCATTCATGACCCTGTCTGACTTACTGCCAGAAATGCAAACATAACTTTTGCATTGTTTATGTAGGGACTGAACAGCCAGTAACAGCAGACCCCCAATCCCAAACTCAAGGTGCAACCCTCCATAGTGTGCCTTGGGGAAAACAGTCAAATGCATTCTCCAAGTCCACAAAACACAAACTGGTTTGGCAAACTCTGATGCCCCTTTAAGGACTCTAGTGAGAGTAAAGAGCTGGTAAAGAGTTCATCCTAACTGAGTTTTCTTCTTTAGCATCTCTGATTAGACCTTAACAGAGGGACTGAGGAACACACAGTGTTCCATAAGAGAGGAACCACCACCCCTGCCTGCCAGTCCAGTGACACTACCCCCAATGTCCACAGATGTTGAAAAGGCACGTTGTAAGAGTAAGACAGCCTCATAACATCCAGAACCTTGAAGAGCTCAGAGTAGATCTTGCCCTGATGCCACAGAGCACTTTAACTTCCTCAGCAAACTAAGCCATGTTTATGGGCGGACCAACCTTTAATCCATGAAAGACATGTTGGCAGGACTGAGAAGCTCCACGAAGTATTCCTTCCACCGCCTGACAAACACAGGTCAACAGCACCCTACCTTCACTCTAGTGTTTGTAAAGAGTTTTTCAGAATTGTGGTGCTGACTGAGTGTCTCCATCTAAGTCCTCACTGAACTCCTCTCCAGAGGTGTCAAAAGTATTCACATTCATTACTTAAGTAGATAGTAGGGTTTAAAAATACTTTTTTGGAAGTAGAAGTATCAACTCGAGCTTTTTACTCAAGTAAAAGTATAAAAGTACTGGTTTTAAAACTACTTAAAGTATAAAAGTAAAAGTAATGAACACTATAAAAAAGGCCATTAAAGATAAAATCTTAGGCTGTGCCTCAGGGTTTACAGCAACCCCACCCCCCCAGATGCACAATTTTCTTCTAATGTCAATAATTAGTATAAAGTTAAATTAAAATGTTGAAAATTTTGTAATTAACTGACTAGACTTATCCTGGTAAAAATCAGATCCTTGTCCTTCACTTTGTTACGAGGGTCTGGACTCGCTGCTATAGGGCAGTGATTCTTGCTGGAGGCGTGGCCTCTGCTGAAGTTTAAAATGATTGGATCGGATTGGCCACGACGTATGTCGCTGTGAAAGAGGCTAGGCTA